AAAATTAAATTGGCAGTGAGAAATCTTGAACTGCAAAAGGCTTTACTAGTGAATTCTATCAAACCTACAAGGAGCAAATCATTTCACTTTTACTCAAGGTGTGTAGCAGCTGGATCTTGGCTCACTGCAGCCTCAATCTCCTGGGCTCAAGTCATCCTCCTACCTGAGCCTCCCAATAGCTAGGACTACAGGTGTGTGCCATCATGCCCAGCTAACTTTGTTTTTTCTTTTTCATTTATTTATTTACTTATTTTTGAGATGGAATTTTGCTCTTGTTGCCCAGGCTAGAGTGCAATGGCATGATCTCGGCTCACGGCAACCTCCTCCTCCGGGCTTCAAGCAATTCTCCTGTCTCAGACTCCCAAGTAGCTGGGACTACAGGATTGTGCCACTGTGCCCAACCTTCTTTTAATTTTTTTTAATGAGATGGAGTCTCGCTCTGTCACCCAGGCTGGAGTGCAGTGGCATGATCTCAGCTCATTGCAACCTCTGCCTCCGGGATTCAAGCAATTATCTTGCCTCACCCTCCCAAGTAGCTGGGATTACAGATGTGCACCCCGACATGCAGCTCATTTTTGTATTTTTAGTAGAGATGGGGTTTCCTCCTGTTGGCGAGGCTGATCTCCAACTCTTGTCCTCAAGCAATCCACCCACCTTGGCCTCCCAAAATTTTGGGATTACAGGCTTGAGCCACTACACCCAGCTCCCTTAGCTTTTTTAAAATAAAAACTGGTGTAATCTTGGTACCTTGATACCAAAACCTGGCAAGGACAATGAAAGAAAGAAAGAGAAGGGAAGGAAGAAAGGAAGGAAAGAGGGGGGAAAGAAGGAGAGAAAGGAAGGAAGGAAGGGAGGGAGGAAGGGAGGAAGAGAACAAGAAAAGGCGGGGGGAAGGAAAGAAGGAAGAAAAAGAGAAGGGGGAGGGAAGGAAGGAGAGAAAGGGGGAAAGGAGGAAGAGAGGCAGAGAGGGACTATGGCTTGTCCATTATTGTCAGAGTTCCTAATTTTCCATAAAAAGTCATAAATTCAGATAAATACCAAAGTGCTAGCCAAAAACGCTAGAAAAGAATGTTTAAAAAGATATGCAAGATCCTATGGAGAAAATTACGAAAACTTTATGGAAACATTTTTAAACTTTATTGAAAGACTAGTGTAGAGAGTATACTATCTTCATAGATCAGAAGACTGCATAATGTAAAGATTATGTGTGTTCCCAAATTGACTTATCAATTATAGCAGTCCCTAAAGGGAAAAACGATTAGAGTTTTGTGGGTATGTGGGTATGTAACTTGACAAGCTAATTCTAAAATGAATATAAAAGTGTGCAGGCCAAGATATTGAAGTCAGTGAAGTGGATTACTTGATTTCCAGACACAGACATGTAAAAGCTGCCGTCATTAAGACTGCTATTGGTACCAGGATGGACCAGTGGACTAATGGAGCAAATGGGGCAAGGCTTTCAATGATGGGAAGAGAAGCAATGTTATTTTCGGAGAGAAGGAAGACAGAATTTTTATTTCTCCGTCTTTTCTCTCCTTCCTCCTCTCTCTTTCCTTCCTTCCATCAATAGACAGGTGTTTCTTGAGTTCCTATGTATGTGCTGGGCCTGGTGCTGGGCCCTTGGGATAAAACAGTAGATAAGAAACTCTGTCTCTTGCCTCGTGGGACAGCAGGACAATTGTAAATGCCAGGTTAATTTGATGAGGGAATCCAACTTTAGACAGTGTGTTCGGGAGGTCCCCTCTAAGGAGGAGACTAGTGCATTGAACCCAGAGGTTGAGAATAAGTGAGCTAAGGGAAGACTAGAGGAAAAGCATTCCAGGCACAGTGAAAAAACCTAGAAGACCCAAAGCCAAGCTCTCTGTTATGTGTGAAGGAGAGAGAGGAGGCCTCTCTGGCTGGAGCAAAGCGGGCAAGAGGGAGGCTGGTGAACTGGGCAGGGCCTGGTTATGCAGATCTTTGTGCGCCATCATGAGGAGTCTGGATTTTATTCTTAGAGCAACGGGAAACCAGTGAAGTCACCTGTAACAAATGTAGGTACTAACATAAGATGTTGGTAACAGGGAAACTGTTTTTCTTCCTGAAAACTAAAAACTGTCCTGAAAATAAAGTCCATTAATTAAAGCCACGAAACTGACCGGCTGGCGGCGATTTTTCTCCCGCATTTCTTATAGCTCAGGTACAGGCAATGCGGAGAGAAATGCTGGACGTGGCCTCTACAGTAAGGTTTTACCACACACAAAAATGCAGAGGCAGAGGGGAAAGGTGATTGAGTTTGTTTCCAAGGGCATAATAACATTGGTGGGCCGTGAAATCTAAGCCAGGTCATGAGGAAGTGGAATAGACCCCAGGAAAGTGTGTAGTTGGTGGGTGTCCTTGGGGAATGTGCACTGATCAGCATGTGAAGATCAGTGAGGTGGGGACTGAGGGGCATTCCCCTGGAGAACTCTGCAGGGGGAGGTTGTGAAGTAAACCTGCCTACTTTTGGTTCTTTGGGACTTTAGACTTTGTGGGAACAGAACAAAAGTAGCACACAGACCTTAAAACACCAAGCTTCTGCTTCCCCAAGTGTACTAGAAACGGTCGTATTTTATTAGAAAGCCTGCCAGGGCATGGGGGTGTGGAATCTTGCTCTCTTGACCATTGTGCATAGGTACCTTACCTTACACTGACCGTTAGCTTAGGGGCCTGTCTCTTGTCACCATTTTCTAGACAACTAGAGAAATTTGTCCTTCTAAGAATGTGATTTAATTCTGATCTTCTAAAATGTCCAAGTTATGGATAGAGTCCTACAGGTCTGCGCTGCCCTTCTCCTCCCTGGGATGGTGACAGCACCATCAGCTCAGGCAGTCGTCATCAACCAGCAGTTCATGGCACAGCTGCATCTCAGGACATGCTTCATTTGGTCTTTAGAGTGTTTTTTAAAAGTTGGATTAGTAGCCAGTATTAAAGATATTTGCACGAAAATCTGGATTTCTGACTTTTTATGGAAAATTAGAAACTCTGACAATAATGGAAAGGCCTGCCTGCTTTTTCTTCCTTTCTCTCTTTCTTCCTTCCTTCTCTTTCTTTCTTTTTCTTTCTTCTTTCTTCTTTCTTTCTTTCTTTCTTCCTTTCTCTCTCTCTCTCTCTCTCTCTCTCTCTCTCTCTCTCTCTCTCTCTCTCTCTCTCTCTCCCTCCCTCTCTCTCTCTCTCTCTCTTCTTTCTTTTCTTGAGACAGAGTCTCACTCTGTCACCAGGCGCCGGGTTGGAGTGCAGTGCGTGATCTCAGCTCACTGCAACCTCCGCCTCCCGGGTTCAAGCAGTTCTCCTGCCTCAGCCTCCTGAGTAGCTGGAACTCTTGCTTCTTTCTCTCTTGTTCTCCTTCTTTCTTTTTTCTTTCCCTCTCATCATTCTCTTTCATTTTCGATCTTTCTCTCTGTCTCTTTTTTTTTTTTTTTTTTTGAGACAGGGTTTCACTCTGTCACCCAGGCTGGAGTACAGTGGCACGATTATGGCTCACTGCAGCCTCCACCTCTCTGGTCTCAGGTGATCCTCCCACCTCAGTCTCCTGAGTAGCCGGGATGACAGGCATGCACCATTAGGCCCGGCTAATTTTTTCAATTTTTGTAGAGACAGGATTTCACCACGTTGCCCAGGAAGGTCTCAAACTCCTGGGCTCAAGTGATCTGCCTGCCTCAACCTTTCAACATACTAACATTACAGGTGTGAGCCACCGTGCCTGGCCTGAGATAGTCGCATTGATCTCTATGCAAACCTCCCTCCCTAGAGTCATGAACTGCTTCAGGTCTGCCTGTGTGGAATGGAGTCATCTTTGCCTGTCTACCTGAGGCAAATATCCAGTGCCCAAATCTCTTCCATGGCTGGCTCTATGTCACTGCACATGGGCGTTTGAGTTGGCCCCTAGACCATGCATGCCACATTCAGGGGCTCAGCTCCCTCTCACTGGCTCCTGAGATAGGGTCCCAAGCAGATTTGTTCTAGTGCCTCACGCCCTGAACCACGCACCCCCCTCAACCTCTGGATGCCCAACACTTGTCAGAACCTTTTAGGTGGCATTTGGGGAGATTGCTGGACACCCCCCTTTGTTTCGTCACCTCTCTCCAAAGCTAGATGTGGGGTTCCCAGTTAACACTGAGAGATTCCTGAGAGCAGGTGGCCTGTGCTAACAAGCCATGACATTCTCCAGCCCTCTCTCCTATTCCCAAGAGTCAGCCAGATGCCAACCTTCCTCCACATGACCTGGAGACTTGGAAGAACCTAGTGACCCCAGACTGTCCTGGGAATCTGACCATTTGGCTGGCAAACGTGGCTCTGATAAAAGTGGGTGACTTGTGGCACTTCTCGTGTAGAGGGCGTCCTGGAGAAGAGCCATCATTGCATGTGAGTGAGGCTAGTAGGAGGCGGCTTTGGGGGTGCTTGAAACATTGGGGCTGCGACTTGGGGCAACAAGGAATTGGAGAATGACCTCCTTGAGGCTGGAAGGGGCTGAGCTATGGAGTCAGACAACCTGGATTTGAGATCCAGGTCTGTGGCTTATTTGCTTTGTTGGCAGATGGGAGACTTTGGGGTCATCATGGAACCCTTCTAGTCATGGGGATCTTAAAAGCAACTGTCTCGCGGGGTTGTCGTGAGCATAGAGTGAGGTACGTTTTATGAAGTGTCCAGCGCTATGCCTGGCACATCGTGTGCTCAGCAAGTATTAGCCGCTATGATAATCGCCGTTGTTGTTACGTGGTAAGAGATGAGGAAAGTGCTTGGAAGTCCCCCCTTGGTGCAGATGAGGGAGCCCAGGCCCAGACAGGAGAAGACACGTCCCCGATCTGAGTCAACGGAAAGCGGGAAGCACAGACCCAAGTCTCCGGTGGCCCCCGAGTCATGCCCAGCTCCCTCCCACAAGGCCGGGAGAGGAAGGGGGAGCGGGCTGATGCGGTCCCCAGGGCACAGTGTCCCCTGAGTCTGGTGGGAGTTTCTCCAGGCCATCGGGAGAAAAACATTACCAAGCGGAAGCTCCGCAGCACAGACAGGCTTCCCTTCCTGGCCACGCCCAGCTCCAGCAGGCTCACGGTGACGATGATGCAGTCGAAGATATTCCACTTCTTCTGGAAATAATAGTATGGGTCGAAGGCGATGATTTTGAAGACCATTTCAGCGGTAAAAACTACGGTGAAGACCTAGGAGTGGAAACAAGTTTTCATCACGGTGGGATCTGTGGGGTCGGGGGCAACGACAAAAATGGCAGCAAGAAAATGTCTTATTTACAAAATAGCGGGTCCTCTTGTTGTGTTCACTTTGCTGTGTTACCTGTGGGCTCCTGAGCATTGGCCAGGGGAACAGTCAACGTGGCACAATGGAGACATTTCTGCCCCATTCTCAGGGGCTGTGCATGCCGCAGTTTTTCCATATGAATGGCGGTGGGAGTGGAGTAAGGGGACAGTCTTTAAGATCATTATTATAAGATCAGAACGCCTTTGAAGAGTCAGTCTGGTTCAGTGGTTAAAAAGCCTAGTTTGTGGGACATCACCGACCTGGATTAAAATCCCAGCTCAGACATTTCCTAGTTTATGTAAGCTCGACAAATAATGCATCCTCTCTGTGCCTTAATTTCCTCATCTGTATAATGGGCATAAAATAAGCGAATGCATGTGCAGTTCTTAGCAAAGGGCCTGGCGATAGTAATGCTTTCATAAATTATAGTGGCTAGCAAGAATAGCGGTTCCTTGTCTCTAAGATTCTTTTCGGCTCTGTGCGTCTTTTTTTTTTGAGACGGAGTTTCGCTCTTGTTACCCAGGCTGGAGTGCAATGGCGCGATCTCGGCTCACTGCAACCTCCGCCTCCTGGGTTCAGGCAATTCTCCTGCCTCAGCCTCCTGAGTAGCTGGGATTACAGGCACTCGCCACCATGCCCAGTGAATTTTTTGTATTTTTAGTAGAGTCGGGGTTTCACCATGTTGACCAGGATGGTCTCGATCTCTTGACCTCGTGATCCACCCGCCTGAGCCTCCCAAAGTGCTGGGATTACAGGCTTGAGCCTCCGCGCCCGGCTGCTCTGTGTGTCTTTAATTGTCTTAAATAGGACAGCATTCTGACATTGAGGGAGGTCAGAAGCAGGTTCAGGTCACACAACACCAGCAGGGAAAGGAGACAGAGAAGGAGGAAAGCGGAGACCAGGGTCAGGCACTTTTCCTTCATATCCTTTTTTCTGAGCCCCTCGCCAGCCTGAGAAACGGACAATGCATCCCTGTCATGGAGAAGAAAACAGGCTGAGAGTTTAAGTGACTTGCTCTTGCCACAAGACTGCCCCTGTGTAATTCAAAGGGTATTTTTTGGGGGGCCCTTGAAGGCAAGTCAGTGTGGTATGGTGAGGGGTGGGGTTGAGGTCTTGTGTCTTCCAGAGACCTGGTTCCACCCTCACCAGTTATACAACTTGGGCAGGACACTTAACCTCTCTGAGTCTTGGCGCTCTCTTCTGTGACGTGAGGGTGATGATAATCTCATGGTGCTGTTGTGACACTGAGATAACACTCACAAAGCGCCTGACTCATTGCGAGCACCAAACACATAACTTTTTTTTCTCGCTTAGAAAAAATGGTGCTGTGCTCTGACACGATGGGAAAGGCCTTTTCTCTCTCTTTCTTTAACTTCTCTAACTGTAGAATGAGGGTGTGGGCTCAAATGTCTGTTCCATAAGGCCCTCTATGGTCTTAGGCTGACTTCTTGGGAATCAGCATTCTCTTCTGTTTCCATTTTCCCTTTCCATATCAACTTTAGGATATGACCTCAGCCTAGGTGCTGCGAAAACATGAGGCATGTTCCAGAACCTACTGCAGCCCCTTTCACAGCCCTGGATCATGGGGGAGGGAGTGGTTTCTAGGGAAGAGTAGTCACATTTCCTCTGGGCCTTTCCCCTCCTCCTAAATCTGCAGCCTTTAAGAAGCTGGACCCCAAAGCTGGACAGCTCTGGTGAATCCAGTAGGTCACCTCCAGTGCAGTGGGCCCTGCTTTGGACATGAAGGCAGGACATTGACTCTTTCTAGCGTCTGCCTATCATGTGTGCATGTGTGTTTGAAAGCGTGCGCGCGTATACACACACACACACACACACACACACACACACACATACAAGCAGGTCCTGTGAGGTGGCTTAATCAGAGGTTAAGAAAAGTGAGCTTGGGAGCTTGGGAGCCGGTCTGTCTGGATTCACATTCTGGTGTGGCCACTAAGTCAAGTCTTTGACCTTGGGAAGATGATTTAACCTCCTGTATCTCAGTTTTTTCATCTGGGAAGGGAATAATAATAATACCTACCATATAGGATTATCGTGAAAATCAAATGAGATAATCCATGGGAAGCATCTGCGGATTATTACTAACCCTGTGAGTAGGGCAAGGTTGGAGCGTTGCTGTCACTCTGAGTCAGACACTTTATGCAGTATACAGTGAAATACAGGATGGCAGGTGTCTTGTTAAGAGTAAATAGTACTAGCCAATGACGGAGGGAAACTTAAAGTAGCGTCATGTCTAAACTCGATGCCAAAGAAAAGTTCCGACTTCCCGATGGTTTCTTCACAACGGCAACCTTGCTTCCATGTCCCTCCCTCCCACTGTCTTCCCCTTCCCTCCCCGACTCTTCTTCTCCTTAAGTGACAGCATTGAAAATTGTGCCTCCTGTTAATTGGAGTCATAAAAGTAATTATCTTGGAAGGAAATTGACAAGTTCAAAGATTGTCTTTAGATGAAAAAGTGACATTTATCCTCATTTCAAGGTAGAGGCACTGAGATCCAGAGACTTCGAGTGGCCGCCCTGTGTTCTGTAAAGGGCAACTAGCTGCCTCTGGCTCCAGGCTCTTGGCCTACCTTCCTGTTCTTGTTCATCCCAAAGCCATTCACACCAGCTCAGCCTGGGTCCTCCCACACTTGACCTCCTGAACCTGGTGTCCACGTGTCCCGCACTGCTGCTCTGCTGTCAGCTAACTGGCTCACCGCACGATCCAATAAGGGCATGCCCCACCCCACCTGAACCACACCCTGCTCCTGCCCCCACCCCTGCCCCGGCCATACCAGTGAGGACAGTGTCAGCCAGAGCACTCACAATGTTGCCTATGTAAAGCATGGCTTCGAAGGTAGAGCTCATGCCATGGTACTCCATGGCCATGAAGACGGTGTTCACCACGATGCACAAGGTGATGGTGAGCTCTGCAAACGGGTCCGTCACAAGCCCAAAGAGAATTGTCTTGAGCTTCAGCCACGTGGGGCAGCAATCCCAGATCAGATACTTCTGAGCCAAGCTGGTCAAGCAGGGTGGGCACCTCTGTTCAGACTCCTCGAGTTCTGCATTACAGGTGTGGTCAATGACAGCTGTCAGCCATGTGTCACCTTGGACCCCAATTCTGCCATCATCCCCTAGACCTTGTCGTAACTAATAACTACCACCTCCAAAATCTTGACTTCAGCGCCCCCCGCCCCGATGTTCATTTCCTACACTTTGAACTCCTTTAGTCTTATAACTCCAGTTAATCTCTGCCCCATCCAGTCCTTGGAACCACTGACGTTACATATTTTTACTGCCCATCACCTATATCATGTCCTTACTTCTCAATTTACCCAGCTTAGATTTCACGTCCATCTCTCTGACGACTCCCTTGCAGGCACCCTCAATTCCTTTGCCCCCTCTTCTCCTTCACTGCACTTGCCTGGCAAAACCTGAACTCCAGATAGACCCAATTTGCAGACTACTCTGCACTTGCACCCAACCAGCTGGACCTGGCTGGAAAAAATATGCAACTATGCTTACTGGTCCTCCTAGAGATCCGTGAGCCCAGCCTTGACCTGCCCAGAAATCTGGCTGTGTTTCTGTGTTATATTCCACTCCTTCCGTCTTCCAGATGACTGTTTCTCACTTCCTCTTCCCTGCCTCTAACCTCCAGCTCTTCTTTCTACTCCTCACTCTGTTAACGAGATCCCTTTTATTTCACTCAGAACATAGAATAGCTCACAAAAGAACTTCCCCTTATTCCCACCATGAAATCTCTGGCATATCCACAGGTCCACCCGGTCTTCCGCCTTTGTACCCCACACAGTGCGGGCCCTTTCCTCTCCCACCTACTCGAGGCCCGTGTCATCGCCTCTCCTTTCCACACCCTCTCCCTTCCAGACCGTTCCCATCAGCACGTAAACATGCTTTAATTATCTCGCAGCTTTGAAAAAGTCCCCCTGGATCCCATGCTCTCCTTCCTTACTGCTTCCTTAACAGCAAAATTCCTCGTAGGAGTTTTCTACACTTAACTTTCTATACCTCCTTACCTCTTTTTTTTCCTGCAGCCCCTGGAATCTGACTTCCGCTGCTTCCAAATTCAAATCATCAGTTTCCAGTTCTCATCGTACTCTTACAGCATTTGGCAGAACTTACACCGTCCTCTTTGAAACCAGTGTGTTTGCCTCTGGGGGCTGCATCGTCTCTTGCTTGTCCTCCCTTATCGGCTACTGTTTCTTTTCACTTTCTGTTTTTGTCTCCCTCTCCCTTTCCTGCTTGTAAATGTTGGAGAACTCAAGCATTCTCACCTTAGCCCCTCTGTTTTTTTGAACCTAAACATTTACCATCTTTATGCCGATTCCCACCAAATTATGTGTCCAGTTTCTGATCCCTTCCAGAACACTAGGCTCATCTCTCTGGCTGCCTCCACGAAATCCCCATGTGGATGTGTAATTGTGGCCACCTCGGTGGCTTTAGGTTTATCTAGAAATTTTGCAGCAGGACACGCATCTTGTATAGAAAACAGCCCATGTGGGCAAAGAAAGATGAGGTCCATTGTTTATAATAATAATAGAAAACAAGGCCGGGCACGGTGGCTCACGCCTGTAATCCCAGCACTTTGGGAGGCCGAGGCGGGCGGGTCACGAGGTCAAGAGATCGAGACCATCCTGGTCAACAGGGTGAAACCCCGTCTCTACTAAAAATACAAAAAATTAGCTGGGCACGGGGGTGTGTGCCTATAATCCCAGCTATTCAGGAGGCTGAGGCAGGAGAATTGCCTGAACCCCAGAGGCGGAGGTTGCGGTGAGCCGAGATCGTGCCATTGCACTCCAGCCTGGGTAACAAGAGCGAAACTCTGTCTCAAAAAAAAAAAAAAAAATAGAAAACAACAACTGATAAAGTATAATACATTGTGAGAAAGGATGAGGCAGACTTACTTGTCGTGAAGTAGAAAATGTATATGTGTAGTGTGTGTATGTGCACGTATGTGCTTATATATGCACAGGACATTGTTTGAAGAATAGAAGATAGACTGAAGCCAGCGTGGGGAAGCTGCGCACCAGGAGTCTGGGGGGCAGAAAGGGTCTGTAGTGGGAAGGAGACGTAGCTGTCATGCATACACAGTTGCAGGGTTTAGACTTTTTTTTACTATATGCACTTGAAAAGTGCGTTTAGAGAAATAATCGCAGGCCCCAGATTTTGCTAACAGTGCGTTACCCTGGGGGGTAACTTACAAATGTAAATGTCAGAGTTTGTCAGCAGTATTTTTATTTGCCACTGCAAGTCTTGGAAAATAACTTCTCCATGTTTTTTTCTTTCTTTTGTAGTTTCACTTTTTTCTCTTAAAACTTCGGTGCATTTGAAATTATTTTGGATAAAGAGTAAGATGTTGATCCTGTTTATTTTTTCCTATCTCTGGTTATTTATATCAGCATCACTTATTCAATAATTTCTCCTTTTCCAAAGATTTGAAATGTCATTTTTGTCATGTTATTGCCATTTATGTTCATATGTTTTTATATACACATGTCCATTTCTCTTCCACAGATCAGACTGTTTTCACTATCATGCTGTTTTAATCACTGACTGTGGATTTTAGAAACTACAGATGTCTAAACTGGCAAAGCATTGTTCTCTAAAGAAGTTAGCACATCCTGGGACCAAAATCAACAATGCCTGCTTGGAACAAAAGCAAGAGTTTCCCTGGACCTATGTTGGCACTAAAAAGAAGCACAGGAAGTAGTGATGAATGAGGACACTTTAGATGTGCCATTTTGGCAGGAAGCAGCCACCTGTGAGGCATGATGGGAGAAGAGAGGCAGCTTTGCAGGCAGCCTTGACGTTGCTGAACTTGACTGACTGGGGAGACACAGAGGCTCAAAGTAGCTACTTGCCAGCGTAAAACATGATGATGGCTCCCCCTCAAAAGGATCTCCGATAAAAAGCTGATCCAGAAAGACTTCCCTCCCTTCCTCCTGTAACACTTAGAGAGGTTCCCCTTCCTCCTGTTAACATCATGTCTCCACCTGTGCGTCCTCTCCGGCCACTGCAGGAGTCTGCTAATAGTCCTTCTCCTCCCTGAATCTTCAGTCTCTCCTATTCTCACAGATCTTTCCCATTAGCATGCAAATATGCTCAAAACAAACAAACCAACACTCCCCGTAACACAAAAACCGAAAATCTTCTTTCAGTTCTACCTACTCCCTAGTGCCATCTTCCTGACTCCTCTCCCTCACAGGCAAACTTCTTGAAAACAGTTGTCTGTACACAATATCAACATTTCTTCACCTCTCATTCGTTCTTTAAGCCCCTTCAATATGCCTCCCCTCCTACTGCACCAATCCTCTTGTGCTTAGATCACCAAAGATATCTATGTGACTAAAGTCCCTGGACCTCTTCAGGGCTTCATTTTACCTGAACTTTCTACCTCTGTTGGCCTTTCTAGTCTTCCCGAAGAAATTTTTACTCGTTGGTCTGCATTGTATTCTTCTAGGTCTTCTCCTATTTCTGTACCTTCCTTCTCAGTCTCCTCTGCTGGGTCTCTCTCTTCTGCTTAACCATTAAACATTAGTTTTTCAGAACTCTGTCCTAGGCCTTCTTCTCTTCTTCCTTCAACCCTTCTGTGTTATCTTATCCACTTGCATCTTTTCAAAATTACCACCTACATGCAAACTGCTTTCCAATATATATATGTATCTAGGCCATCTTTGTCATCTAAGTTCTGGGCCCGTACATCATAAAGCCAACTTCCTACTGAACATTCCTACCTAGATGTTCCAAGGGTGCCTGAAACCCGATAGGTCCCACACTCAACTCATGATCTTCTCCTTTCATCTTTCCCCAGGGAAGCCCCCTTCTCCCCCTAAAATGCTCCCTTTAACGAGTTATTGCACCAGCATATCTTTAAGCACTTATAAGAGAACCATAAGCATCATCAAGTCCTGAATCTCATATGAATTAGATAGTTCTCACATCCTTCTATTTCCCATTATCCCCATGACACTACCCCAGAGTTCAAGCACTGCCATCTTGCACGCCATTTCCTCCTAAGTGGTTTCCCTGCCAACATACTTCCTCCCTTAATTTCATTATCTACAAGTATCCAGAGTAACTTTTATAAAATGCAAATGTGACTTCCCTGCCTCCATTCCCTTAATGGCACCCGACTCCTCTTAGCATGAAGTCCCATATTCTTAATGTGGTCTAGGAGGTTTTGGGATCTGGCCCTAACTCATCCCTCTAACCTTATTTTGAGTTCTGGTTCTCTAGGTTACAGCTACATTAGGCTTTCGCATTCCTTCAAATGTTATTCTCTCTTCTGCTTTGCTGTCTTTCAAGCCTGGAATAATTCCCTGACTCCAGGCTAAACTTACCATATTTCTCTCGGCATCCTGCACTTCATCTTTAAGACACTTGGCACTCCAGGAATAGCTTGTTTCGTATTCTTCTGCCCCCATAAACACGAGGGCAGAGACTCAGCTGTGCTCACTGCTGTGACCCAGCTTCTGGAATTCTGGCTTGGACAATTGTCAGATCTCAGCTTGCATGCCAAGCATAGATGGTTCACATGTTTTCGGTTCAGTTAATTGTCAAGCTCCTGTTGGTTTGGGTCAAACTTTCTTAAGCACAATCCCTCGTAAAGAGGTGGCCTCTGTAAATCCTATTATGACTGTGGCAGCGCAGAGCATCCTCCAGGTCTCTCGTGTATAATGAATATGACATCCAACCAGAGAAGACGATGTGTCCTATGTTCAGAAAACTTTGACCTCTTCAATTTCACCTAGGGTTTCCTCTCCCCAGATTTTCTTTAAAATGTCATTGTTTCTCTGGCCTCTCTTACCCTATTCTCACAGCATCTTCCTTGAGGGGAAGTCTGTCCTACCCCAAGATATTTGACTATTACTTATTTTTTTCCTTTTTATCAGTTCACACCGTTATAAATTAGCATCACCCACCCAAATATCAACTTTGTGCATGCACTTCTCTTTTAGGTAATGGGGATCAGGCTGTGAGCAAAACAGATACATCTCTGTCCTCATGGATTTTACAACCTAGTGAATAATTGTAGCCAAATGTGATGAGTATTTATTAAATGCCAGTCATGGTTCTAAGCATTTTGCTTGCCCTAACGCATTTAATCCTCACAAAACTCTACAAGATAAGTATATTCTCCCTATTTTACAGGCTAGAAATCTGAGGCACAGAGACCTTACTGAAGCTCCAGCGTCGCTATTTACCATAAACGGCAGAGGTCGGATGCAAACCCAGGCAGCTGGGGTCCAGAGCAGTGTTCTAACTGCTGCTGTCTGCTGCCTGTCATTCATCCTATGACCTTTGGTCTTCCCTAGCAAGGTTTGCCTTGGACTCCTACTCTCCACCTCCTCTGCTCTCTCTGTGCCTGGGGACAGTGGCCTCACGCTCTGGTGCTGGCTAGGTTTGGTTAATGGGAGGCATAGGAAGGATGTGTTTGGGACGCACATTTTGCTCGTTCCTGTCTCATTCTCGCAGAATGCATTGAGCTTGCTGTTCGTGTCTGCAAACTTTCTCCTCAGGTTCTTACACAGCTGACAACTGTGTTTAATGCAGATTTCTGTTCTTCTTGGAGGACGCTCACTCTCCATCTCCTTCCCTACTTTATTTTTTCTCCTACTTCTTACCACTGGCTGAATGTCTATTCATGTTCATCTTTTGTGTCCCCTTCCCTTTTCACCGCTGAATCCCAACACCTGGAGCAAAGCCACACACACAGCAGGGGCTCAACAAATGCTTGTTGATAAGTGAATAAATGAAAGGAGAGAGAAGGAGGAAGCTTAACAGTTTTGGAGAATAAATGAAAAAGCAAACTGTTTGTATTCAATGTTTGCTGTTTGATGATTGATAGCAAAACCAAAACCCAAACTAGAAAAAAACAAGAAACCTATCTGACCAAGAAAATACCTGTGGGACTAGCAGCCTGGTGAAACTCTACGCCATGAAAAATGTTAGAAGTGCAGACACTATTACAATGAACAGTGATGTTAAATAATTATCAACAAGAAAAAATAATATTAGAGAGTCTATACACATTGTTCTTGAGAACGGGTACACATTTCCCAAAGCACACACTCGGGTGTGCAAGAAATGTAACTCAGTTGAATTCAATTTATGCTTCAAGTCCTCACCATGGGAAATGTCTTTTGTTAAGTCAGTGTTGGATACTGTTTCAATATCTGGGTCTGTGTCTAAGTTTTGTAGGGCTCAAGCCTGGTGGAGGGTTGAGCTGGTCCTTTGTCATTGCTAGTGTATTTTGCCTGAGTTGTAGTTCCCGTCTGGTCCCTGGGGGGAGAGTCCATGAAGATGGCTCTTCTCTCTCTAGATTCTCTCTGTGGGTCTCACTCATCTTTTCCCATAGCCTTCACTGGGGGCTACGTCATCACCCAGCTCCTCTCTGCCATTCTGGAGCCACAGGATTTTCTCTGAGGCTGCTTCAGGCCTTCTCCAACCTAAGGTTGACCTAAGCTAAGGTTGCCTTTTCCCAGATTTTCTTAAAATCATCATTGTTTCTCCTGACTATCTTACTCTACTCTCACAGTATCTTCCTTGAGTGGAAGTCCATCCTACCCCAGGATATCTGACTATTCCTTATTTTCTTCCTTTTTATCAGTTCACACACTACAAGTTAGCATCACACCCCAGGTATCACCTTTGTGCATGCATTGCTCTTCTGGGTAATGGAGATCCAGCTGTGAGCAAAACAGATGCATCTCTCCACAGCTGGTATATTACTGGCCAGTTCTACTCTACAGTTTCTATGCATGTGAATCTCTCTCTAAGGCTTGCCACCTCTGGCTTCACCTGGAAATTAAGGCACACATTGGCTCTGCTTTTAAATCCCTCAAACTTTTTTTTTTTTTTTTTTTTGGTTTCTGGTGCTCACCACTTCTTCCCCTCAAATTAGGATTCAGTCTAGGGCTGTGAGGAAAGCACACGGGACTTCTTCTTAGGAGCACAGTGGCATTCAAGCTCCCTTACAACCCCTCCAGCCCAGGTCAGTCTAATTTGTCTAGGGGACTAAGATAACTGGGATGACTAAGGTTGCATTATCCATACCCTGAGACAAAAAAAAAAAAAAAGGTTGGATTGGAACAGACCTCTTGCTCAGGGTTAGGGATATGCAATCATGCTCTGTGGCAATGTGTGTGGATAGGCGGCCATGACCATTACCACTCTCTTCCTCTACTCCTTGTCTTGGAACTTAGACACATCCCTGCTGAGACTGACTGGATTCCCACTGGACTGGTAGAATTCTGAATTAACAAAGACTTAGTTGAACTGATTGATTAATGGACTTAAATTGTCTTCCAATATTCAACATAATGGGGGCTTGAAAAAGAAATTACGTTACAGCTGTGTAAGTTACAATCATGAAAAATATAATTTTGAAACCATGAAAAGGATAATTTTGCCATGTTTGAAAATTAAAGATGGTTAAATTTCTTGCACACCTGAGAGCTGGCCTGAAATTCTCTGATGCCTGCCAGCTCACCTTTAAAAATCTAGTTTTGTGATGCATGCAAAGCAGATGCTAATTTGAACAAGAGATGAGCTAGGATATTTTATTCATCAAATTATTTTGCTTTTGAAAAATTATGCATATAAAAAAAACCACCTTGATAAAAGATGGTGGGGCCTAGGGCAAAAGAAAGAGGAGTGTTTAGAATCCCAGTACACAGAGACGGATGCTTTGACATGGGTTAAAGGCATTGCTTCTGCCACTCACATGGGAATTCATCATGGCACAGTGGATGAACAATGCAATGAGCAACACTTACCCTCAAGGACGGAGGTTATGATGCTGACAACACTCATTGCCCTTTGGGCTCGGAAAGGCTCATCTAAGTATTCCGCTGACAAGAAAGTCTTCTTCTGTCCTGCATCAAATGCCTGCTGAGACACAGAGTACGGACACTCCCTTAACCTGATGTCTTCATGGCAAAGATGGAGCATTCAGCCTCTTATTGGCCAGTCTCATATAGTCATGTGTCACTTAACAATAGGGATATGTTCTGAGAAATGTATCATTAGGTGATTTCATCATTCTGTGAATACCCTACGGTGTATTTACACAAGCAAATGCTATAGCCTTCTATACATCTAGGAAAAATAGTGTGGCCTATTGCTCCTAGGCTACACATCTGTACAGCATATTACTGTTGAATACTGTAATTATAAACAGTTAATAAACATAAAGTTGGCTGGATGCGGTGGCTCACGCCTGTAATCCCAGCGCTTTGGGAGGCCAAGGCGGGCACAAGGTCAGGAGATCGAGACCATCCTGGCCAACATGGTGAAATCCCATCTCTACTAAAAATACAAAAAATTAGCTGGGTGTGGTAGCATGCACCTGTCTACTTGGGAGGCTGAGACATGAGAATTGCTTGAACCTGGGAGGTGGAGGTTGCAGTGAGCAAATTGCTCTGTATCCCTAGCTAGCCAGAGAGGGTAAATGAAAAACACTAGAAACATCATTACTGAAACTGGAGGGAGGACTCAAATGAACTCACACCTCGCAGTCCAGTGAGAACTCTCTCACTTGTCATTACACTCTGCGATTATTCTATTTAAGAGTGCTGGCCAGCTAGTCACTCTTGCCTAATTTGTGCATTTTGGCAAATTATTTCTTCTGTGAGTAAAGCAAGAAATACTCTGCTCCTATTGAGATCTGTCCTGAGAAACTCCCAGAATTTCTCTGGTTCCATTTGCCCAGCCTAAAGGAGTGTGCACAGAGCCAGAGGCAGGAAGAGACGGTCCTTCAGTTTTTCTCATAGCTGTCCAGGAAGAAAGCAGGCCTATCACAGAGGCGGCGATGCTGAGTGGAGACAGAGAAACACTGAGAAGAAATGGGATCAAATGGAAAATAATTGCATCACTACTGCAGAGTAAACCAGGAAATCTGTTTGACCTCAAGCCAGCTCAGTCTCTCTCTCTCTGGGTCTCATCTTCTCTGTCCGTAAAAAGGGAGTAGAATGGGGAGGCATTGGAGAGGATGATGGCTAAAGATCCCTTTCATTCGTGACACTCAGGCTTCTTGGCCCAAGGCTTCTAGTTGGAAGACAGCCTGGGGGAGTCTGAAGATTCACAAACTCACCGAGACTTCCACAGCTCCAGGGGCAAGTGGGGGATGTTCATCTTCTCCATGCATGGAGTCAGGGTTGCTGGGTTGTGGGCTTCTAGGGAGGGGGCCTTGCTGGCCAGCACCCCCACCCAGCAGCAGGGAGCCCCGATAGCTTTCGCGGTCTCCAGGAAAGGCTCCATCATCTGTGACTCCCTCGGGGAGTGAGATATCTCGGCCAGGGAACCGGAAATGGAACACGCTGCCATGGCTAGCCCGGCGTCTTCCAGAGGCGAGGCCTAGAAAAGACTGGGCATTGCCCGAAAGAGCAGGACGGCTGGCAGCTGGTCCTCTGGCAAATCACTTTCCTCTACCTACTCCCATTTCCCTGACCCTATTTTTATGACCTTTCAGTAGCTAAATAAAGGCACAAATCTAAGGCACAAATTCTAGGAATGCGTGGTGAGGGAGCAAGAAACAAAGGAGATTCTAGACAGACTGGGGGTAAGAGCAGGAGGGAGGAGAGATTACAGGGTACCGATGCTCAGCAAATAGGTCATCATGGCCAGGAACATGTCAGAGGAAATCTTGTCACCTGGATAGGTCAGCTGTTTGCCAACCTTTAGCCACAGGGCTAGACAAAGCTGTCTGAAGTTCCCTTTTCCATATGCGAAGCTGTGACCTGAGGAGACTTCCATGCACACCAGTACTGGAACGTACTTAGTAAGTGGTTGTTGAATAAACGAGTGCACTTCATTGTCTGAAAATTAGGTTGTACAATTCATTAGTTCCAGTCTGTGTGAGTGTGAGTCTGTGTTGCAAGGAGGAGACAAGAGCTGTGCAGTGTAATGAGCTTCCAGGATCCCTCGAGGCAAGCTTTGAACAGTCAACGATGGAGAGAGTGAAGGAGGGTGGCAGCCTAATTTTCCGGAAGAAGGATGCCATTCCTCCCAATCAATAAACATTTCCCGTCAAAATCTTTTACCGAGGGAACTGTGTGGCTTAAAGTTGCCAGAGAAAAGAGCTAATTCATAAGCCCAGAGCCCTCAGAGAGTTAGTGTGCTGGGTCAGGTAGTTCCCATGACCATAGTGAAACTTGACCATAACTGACCGTATTTTCTGTCCTCAGGTGGTCTATGGTACATCCGAAATCTAAACACTGACTTTATACCAAGTTCTGATCATGCTGATTTATTCCACTCACCTTCCTTACTTCCTTTTATTTACTAAACTACTGAAATAGAGAATCTTGCCAATTGGGGTCCTCCTAACTAATCAATCCTCTCATCTCAGAACCGGTGTTTCCTCTCTTGATAATTTGAAACCCAATCTTGTTTGGCAACCATTATTAAAAGCCCAGTATTATAAACAGAATGCTGTGCCTGTAATGCATACCCAAGGACTCATAAAGAACTCATAATACGCAGAAGTCCTTCCCATTTTTGAATCAAATGAGAAAAATGGGCAAACCCATATTAAAGAAGGGAATCACCACATTGTTCGCACTTGAGCACTAAGCAAACAGTGAAGAAACTGAGAAGAAAATGTTGGTTGCGTATTTGACAGCAGTGTCTCCGTGGCCATGAGTTATTTTAAAATTAAGCTTTTTGACAAATGGTGGGCAACGTCTTCTGAGTACAAGCATTAGAATTGCTTTAAGAATTCATCCTCTAAGCAGGCCAACTGGTTGGTAATTTTCCACGAAACCCCTCCTGGGTCACTGGGTCACTCCTGAATATTCTTCTATTTCATTTCTGTTGGTTAGAAAATGGCTTTATATAAAAACTGTGTAAGGTCTGTTTACCAGATGAATGTGCCTGGCAATGGAAGAAAGAGTGTGCTTTCCTGAATGGCTCCGATCGATCAGTTAGCATCAAAGAAGTACTCAAATGGTGCCCCCCGTCTTTCCACATACATGTTCTTCTTTCTGCCTGGAAAATACTCCTCCCCAAATTCTCTAAAGTCTTCAGTTACTGGAAGAATCTCTACATGCTATTTGCAGTTGGCCCCAATTATCCCCTCCTCCAGGAAGCCTTTTCTGATACCTGTCTAGCAGCATAAGAGTGAATGTTTCTTCTTCTATTCTCAAAATACCATGTATGCGTCTCTAACACACCGTTTAGCATATGGCTGTGTTTATATTTGCCTCCTCCACCCGAATGGAAATCCTTGGGGAAAAGAGCATGTTCTAGTCATATCTTTAAACCAAGAATCTGACATTGTTGAATGAACAAGTTGAAGTTCCTCTTTTTCCCCTTTGAAAGTAAGTATCACGGGAGAGACAAGCGCACATACCAATTATTGGACATCCAGGTGCTAATTTGTGTGGGGCTGACAGAAGAGGGGAAATTAAAGCCCGATTCAGAGTGTCGTTGACATTTCCATGGAAGCTGTGATTCTTCCTGTTCTGTGATTGCCAGAGCCCTAGTCAAATCCCCTTTGAAACATTGTGTGAACTGTGCCCCATGTATGCCAGGTGCTGCTCAAAAGAGGCAAAGCAAGAAAGAGGAGGGCACAGAGGCAGATAAAGGCCGAAGTGTGGGTGTGCCATAAGATCGGCGTGCATGCAAGTGTGTCTGTGTCTGTGCATGCAAGTGTGTCTGTGCGTCTGCATGCAAGTGTGTCTGTGTGCATGCAAGTGTGTCTGTGTGCATGCAAGTGTGTCTGTGCGTCTGCATGCAAGTGTGTCTGTGTCTGTGCATGCAAGTGTGTCTGTGCGTCTGCATGCAAGTGTGTCTGTGTCTGTGCATGCAAGTGTGTCTGTGCGTCTGCATGCAAGTGTGTCTGTGTCTGTGCATGCAAGTGTGTCTGTGCGTCTGCATGCAAGTGTGTCTGTGTCTGTGCATGCAAGTGTGTCTGTGTCTGTGCATGCAAGTGTGTCTGTGCGTCTGCATGCAAGTGTGTCTGGTATATGCACACATAAATCTGAGGGTTGGAGAGATGGTATTGCAAAAAAGTAAAAGTCCTTCAGTTTAGCACAGGGAAAGAGATTGAGAGGAAAGTGAGAGGCAGAAAGCATAAAAAGTAGCCATGCTGATCCCCTTTTCTACACTGTTAGCGTGGAACCATCCTCCCACACAGCCGATATTTTCTGTCAGTCCTAGGGAAAGGGCATATTTGGGGTACACGGACTTTCAAGGGGCAGGAAGGGGGTGGGAGGAAGTGTGGTGAGGAAAGTTGCAGTGCAAATTTTAGAGGGGGAGGCAGAAAGTTATTATTGGGGGAACAAAATTGTTATAGGGTCTGAGGTGAGGTGCTGAAGCCATTCCCAGGCTGGACTGTGTCACAGAGATGGGTGCTGGGACCTTTTCTGCTAACAACAGGTGACAGCTTGAATTGCAGGACCTTAGGAAGGAGGTCAGAAATTATACCCAATAATTATGCAAAATTGTGATGTTCTAATTAAAAAAATAACCAAGTAAAAAAAGAAAACCGCCTCAACACATCAGAAAAAATAAAAAAGGCGTGTGAAGGATCTCAGCACCATGGGCAGGGAGCCTTGAGCTCTAGAACTGCAGCTTAGAGCATCAGAAGGAAGCTGACCTTTAAGGTCCACAGACACCTTAGGATAGGCATGTTCAATACAGGCTTCCCACCTTTCCTACAAACCTGGGTTTTTCCTCCGGGGTCCCCATCTTGGAATCACCACCCATTTGATTGCCCAATCCTGAAACCTGGGAGTCAAATTGGACTCTGCTTTCCCTTTTCCACAGTCCACAATCCCAACCTCGTTAATCCCCTCCCCCAAAATGTCCTTACAATTCACTCCTTTTTCCCATCTATAATCACTCTCTCCTAGTTTAGCGTATCATTTTGGAGGGGGCGTCTGGATCCTTCCAAGCTCTGCGCCTCCAGCTCTTTCTGTGCCACAAACCTCTTCCCACTCCAACCCATTTTCCATGGCAGCTGCAATGGTGGGTGATCTTCAGAGCACAGAGCTGAGCCCCTTACCATCCTGCGCTGGTTGTAAGGATCAGAGTGGGGTGATTTGTTGCCTTCTGTGGAGCCCTCTGACACCCTTGGCTTTATTCTGTGCCTTCTCTCACTGGCATTTTTTGAGGTTAAAGGTGATCCATTGTGGGAGTGGAGAGAAGTTGTGTCAATCCCCAGTGCTGCCAGCACCTGCGAAGAGGAACCGCAGCTGTAGTCAACAGTATTTGCTTGGATTTAGCATAAATGTGTCCCCCAGACATGGGGTGCCGGGGTGGGGGGTGAGAGATCTGAAACAGAGAAACTCAAGGGTTAGGACCTGGGTGGTGGTGGGATTAGGCCATGGCAGGTACAGACACCTCTGGATCACCCCCCACTCATTCAAGGGCCACTCTGTTGGTGCCCCACCCAGGTCCCTTTCACCAGGCCAGCACACCTGTCCCTGTCCACTTGAGTGGCAGCAGTTAGTGGCTCAAACTTACAGCACTTTGCAGAAAATCTCTTTTGGCTGCCTGCTTCTGGGATAGGTATGGGGAGGGTAAAAACAGCTGGCACCCTTGCCTCAAGGTAGGGCTAACTGTGGTACAGGTCATGCCCCAGAGTTCCCTATGGGATCAGGCTGAAGCTGGGCTCTAGCTGAGAACACTCCGTGTTTAGTTCCACCCTCTGCTGCATTCTGTTTTCCTTCGTTAGCTTTCACCTGCGAGCACTCCCTTAATAAATCAGTTGCACAAGAATCCTCACTTAGGTTCTTCTTTGAGAAAACCTGACCTGATATGGTCTGGTTTCTCCTATGGCAGGAAGATGATTCCTCCTTTAGCTCCCTAGATGGCAGCCCTAATGGAAGTGGCTAGCCCAGAACTCTATCCAAGAATGGACAATCTGCAACCTTCTTCACAAAGCTTCCACTCCTCACAAACCTCCTGCTCCTTCCGGAGCATCTCGAGGGTCTCCTGGAACTTCTTCTCCTTTGCTTCAATTTCATCAATGGTTGCCTGGTTCTGCTCCTCATAGGCCATGGTGACCACAGCCAAGATCAAGTTGACCAGGTAGAAAGATCCCAGGAAGATTACGAGCACGAAAAAGATCATATAGATTTTCCCAGATGCCCTCAGGGTCTGCAGATTCAAGGGAAAGAAAAGAAACCTGTACCCATAGCACACGGACCCCGAGTTTAAGTCATGTCCTCCAGGGAAAGCACAGCCATGCAGCTGACCCACCAGCCTCCAACCAAGTCTGTGTGGGGACGTGCAGCTCAGTACCTGCTGGTAGAGGCGTTCCCAGGAATCCTGTGTCATGAGGCGGAACAGTGAGAGGAAAGCCCAGGCAAAGGAATCAAAGCTGGTGTAGTTAAAATCCGGGTTGTCAAAGGTTTTAAGGCAGATATAACCATCAGGGCAGTGGCTGCAGCAAGAACAGAGAAGGTCATCCCCTGCTTTTGGGGACAAGGCAGCCCAGGGCTGCAAGACGACCACAGAATTTGATGTTAGAGATCAGAGTTCAAGGTCTCGTCTTTCTCTAATAAACAGGATGATGTTGGATACTTGGTTTTAGGTCTCAGTTTCTGTTATCCATAAAATGGGGATGCTAGTACTTTCCTTCAGAATTCCACGCACGGGGGAGTGGCCTGGGAAGTCAGCTGACTGCCCAGACACGATACCATAGGCTCTCTGCCAGTTCATGCCAGGGAAGGGAGAATCAGTAGCAATCATCAGACTTAAAACCCAACCTGTTGCCATCACCTGCAGAGTTGTCTATCAAAGGAGGTCTCATCTGATCCAAGTTCACTGATTAATTATAGATAATAATGGAAATAACACTTTCCACTTACTAAGCACTTTCTGTGTTCCTCTCTCTCCTGCTAAGTGCTTCACAAACACTGTAATTTAATCGTTCAATATTCTTTCTTTACAGATGAGCAAGCTGGGGGTCAGAAAGAAGTCAGTTGCCTAAAACCACACAGGTGTCAATGTATTTATTAAAAGGAGTGATGTCACTGTCAGTAGCCCAAGACTTGAGTCAGCCTAGCCTCCTCCTGAAGATGGCCTGTGAAGAAAGGCCAAATTGAAAATGACTGCCTGGTGAGTACTGGGGTGGGAGTGCTGAACTCCTTCCCCTCTCTCACAATATGAGGATGAATTGATATCAAGAAGTATCTGTCAGCTCAGGGGGTGTAAAGTGCTCTCATCCACCCTAGTGGAAATGGCCTGATCAACGAAGCAGGAACACCTCACTTGAAGTTTGGAATTCTTTAAACAATTTTTTTCTTTTCTTTTTTATTTACCTGCACTCCTTGAAAATACATGCAATCTTTTACTCCCAGGATTTCTCCATGAACACCAACCTCTGGAGCTCTCCTTATCTTAGACGTCCATGTGAACAACCCGTATCATGAATTAGAGCTCTGACAACTTAATTCTAATCAGTGCCAATTCTATCTCCACCTGGATTGAAGATTGCAAGTTCTCGGGCTTTGTAGACCCACATTTAAAGGCAGGCTCTCGGTTTGGTCTCCCAAGGGGCTAGGCAAGCCATTACCTGTAGGTTTCCTAATTAATGCTGAGGGCAGCCTTATTTCCGTGTCTTCTGTAGAAACCCACTGTAGCCACTATATATCAACAGCTCACCTCTGTGAAGATTAATGAGATCATTGCACAGTGTCTTGCACTTCTGCATAGTAAATTTTTTTTTTTTTTTTTTTTTTTTTTTTTTAGACAGAGTCTTGCTCCATCGCCAGGCACCAGGCTGGAGTGCTGTGGCACAACCTCGGCTCACTGCAACCTCCGCCTCCCGGGTTCAAACAGTTCTCCTGCCTCAGTCTCCCGAGTAGCTGGGACTACAGGCTCATGCCACCACATCCAGCTAATTTTTGTATTTTTAGTAGAGACAGGGTTTCACCATGTTGGCCAGGATGGTCTCAATCTCTTGACCTCGTGATCTGCCCGCCTTGGCCTCCCACATAGTAAATATTGTACATAAAATGCAAAGGAAAATTCCTACTGTTTTTAACCTTGGAAACTACTGAAAGGATACACTGGAATAATATATGTGGAAGAACACTGAAAATTATCAGCTATTTTTTGGTATCAGTTTTCTGCCTTGGGACCCCTGACCCCTCTCACGGTGACATTGGTTAATGTGGTCCTTTCCTGAGGGCTCTGGCTACTCTGCAGAGGACCCAGGCTTAGCTTTAACAGCAAGCTCCTGCAGGGCTCACTCTGTCCATTGTCCTGAGCTGGCCTCTCTCTGCCATCCCAGCCTGGTCCACTCCCCCACTGCCTGGCTGGAACCTGCCAAGCAGCAGGCCTGGCCTGTCTGGGAGCTGAGCTGTGGAGGTGTGTAGTTGGACCCCACAACTTTACCACAGTAAGGACTTGAGCTGCTCTGGAGCCATAGCCTTGAGAAATGTCATTAATTAGACGGAAGAAGGGTGGTGAGGGGAATCTTGGTTTACATTTAAGTCAAAGGCAAATGAAAACTGATGTCAGAACAACCCTCCCGTGAGCCAAAGAAGCAAATGCCAGGTGCATTTGAGAAATAAGAGGCTAAGGAAGCTGATGTTGACCAAATGCTCCTGCTGGTTTCCAGTAGTCAGCTCTGAGACGGTTTTCCTAGTGAGCTGGTGAAGATGGAGCCCCATGCAGGCTCCAAACAGGTCCACCCCGGCAATATGGAGCCGTCAGCCTCTCAGGGAGTGCGGGCGTTGTGAGCTCTGCTCTTCCAAGCTCTCAGTCATTGAGGTGGGTGAGGTGGGCCTTTTTGACCTTTTGCCTAAAGTCATTCTACTAATGCCTTCCTCCAGGGGCTAAAGCAACAGGCAGAGCTGAAGGGTCCTCATCCCTTAGCTTTGTCTCACATTCTGTTCTGCCACCTGGAACGGCCTTCACTCAAACTATTTTGTATGCACCCAGCCTGGAACATCCTACCTGCCCTCGAAAGCTCACCTCAAACACCACCTCCAGGAAGCCTTCCAGACTTTCTCCCTTGCCTCACACCACCAGCTCAGTGTTTCCCCAGCCCATGAAGCCTCTAGTAAAGAACCTGTTTTCCATAGAGTAGCATATTTATGTTGATGCATGAGAAATTGCAAACTAGCAGTTTATAGGCTGGCTTTGGCCCCCAGAAATATTTTGTTTGGCTCCAAAATATGTGGAGAGCTTTTGGAATAGGTAGCCAACATTTATAGTTGGAAGATTTTACATAAAAATCTAAATTTCATATCTCTGTTTTAAGAGTTGGAAGAGCTGGAAGCAATGAACCCACATTTCCACATGGTGACTAAAAGGTGGACTGAGCAGTGAGGCTGTCCCTTTAGAGGAGGCACGAACTCTCAGCTCCCAGGTTCCCACCTGGCCCACTCCACTCATTTGTTGTTATGAATCTGGCCTCTTTAAGAACTTGAAATGGCAAAGTCTGATACATGTGTTTCCTCCTCTGTTTGTGAGGATAATGTAGCTATAGAATGGCCTTAGCTGTGATGATTAAATGAAGAGCATTTGACAAAAATAATTATTGGTTCCTTCCTGGGGTAGATTGTTTACTAAAATGGCTACAGTTCTTCTCCTTGTGCATCCATACCCTTTCCAATGTCACTTTTCAGCTCCTTTCATTGAATGATGGAGTCTATTTCTCTACCTCTTGGAACTGGACTGTCTGGGACTTGCTTTGGTCAATAGAATGTAAAAAAGGTACATTGTGTTGGTTCTAAGCCTAGGCCTGAAAAAGCCTTGCAAACTTCCACTGTTTCTCTGGAAACCCTGCCATGAGAACAGAACCAGGCTAACTTGCTTGGGGTGAAAGGCCACATGAGCAGAGACAGAACATCCTAACCCAGGCATCTCCCAGTTAATCTGTCCACTGTCTGCATAAATAAGAATGAGCTTAGTCAACCTAGTCAATGTTGGCCAATGCCCATCTGATCCCAGTCCAAAATGCTGACGCACAGAATCACAAATTAAATAAATTGTTGTTTTAATTAAGAAGATTTTTGAGTCATTTGTTACACAGCAAAAGCTAACTCATACATTCCCTGCCCATGAGTTCTGGGATGGCAAAGGCCATGACTTTTTTATTTAAACGTCTTTCCCAGGACCTGCAACCCCACCTGTGCCCATAAAATGCCAAGGACAAGATGGAGAAAGAATTGTTGGGCATTGGTGCTTTGCCATAAGTTGGGCACTCACCCTGAGTCAGATCCATTGCCACACAGTAAGGGATCAGAAGTGCCTCGCTTATTTATGAAGATATCTGGTAAAGAAAGGAAGAAAAGAAAGCCTCACAGATGGTTCTGAACCCTCCAACACAAGCCCTGTGTGGTGAATGCAACACTCTCAAGTCTTCCAAAGGGAGCTCCTTTGGCTGCATGTACTCAGTGGGCATGCTGGGCCATGTGGAAGGTGTAAAGTCACATCTGAGAAGAGAAGAGCTGAGCAGTGACTTCGGCTCTCAATCTCCCCCAGCAGAGGTAGAATGACTTGTCTCTAGATTTGTGGCTCATTTCCTCACAAGGGGGATGCTGAACAACAGGAAACAGAGTACCCAAAAATAAAACACCACCCAAGAGAAGCATTTTGGCAGGAAAAGGGAAATAAAGTACATATCCATACGCACACACAGGTGCTCCACATCCCCTGTCTCTCTATGGTACTAGGGCCCCAACCAGACCTTGATCCCTATGGGAGAAACTCCACTCACATTTTCCGTGAGATGAGTAGTTGGTTGTCTCATTGACAGCCATGGCATTCTTGACACATTTGTTCTTGAGGTTGCCCTTGAAGAGCTGCAGCCCCACCAAGGCAAAGACACTTAGGCAGAAGATGGTGAGGATGGTCACATCAGCCAGTTTCTTCACTGAGTGGATCAGGGCCCCCACAATGACCTTCAGCCCTGCAGGAAGATGATAGCGGTATGGCCACATGGATGAGCTAGACTCAGAGTCCTTCCTCATCTCTACATACAGGGGTGAAATATTCACACACTCCTGGGCAGTGCCAAGCCATTTCTTATCTGAAGCTTGATTTACTCTGAGAGGCAGGCAGGCAGGGACTATTGTTCTCATTACAAAGATGATGAAACTGAGACCCAGGGAATCTATTTTTTATGATCTTGAGGCTAATAAAATTCCTGACACTAGCAATTCAATTTAAATAATGTACGCTGGGTACTTACTTTTTTTCCAGGCACTGTGCTAGGCATGAGGCTCCTAACTTCACCCCAGTAATTTGGGATCTATCTTTCTGCATGCACGTCTCGGTTCTGGGAGGCAGCTTGAGACCTGGGACACATGAACCTCACTGCGTGTGTGTGTTTGTGTGTGTGTGTGTGTGTGTGTGTGTGTGTGTGAGAGAGAGAGAGAGAGAGAGAGAGAGAGAGGTGGGGGGAGATGGAGATGCAAAGGAGATAGAATGAAACAAAAATAGAAAAACCAAGAGAAAGAAAAAGACAGAGACACAGTGAGTTTAGCAACAGAGAAAGACTATGAGAAACACTGAGACAGTAACTGGGGCAGAAATAGAATTTGTGCCAAACACAGCTGTCAGCAAAGAAGGAGGCACTTGCTTGTTTAAGGAGGAATGATTTGTTGCTCTGGTGAGTAAAATCAACCTCTTTGGGAGAGCAGCTTCGCAGGTAGCAGAAAGAGCTCTAACCAGGGAAGTGATCTAGGTTTTATTTTTGGCTAGTCATTTTGGTCAGCAGATAATCCACTGAGTGCTACATATGTCAGTCCCTGGGCTGGGAGCTGAGTGATGGCTAAGGCAGCAGCATGACGAGTGCTGTTGTCTGACAATTGAGGAGAAAGTCCGGAGCATTAGTGAGCAGACGGGCACACGGGGAGCAGCCCTGAACTGAAGTTCCAGGGGTGGGAATGGGGTGGGTGGAGTGTGAGGAAGGTGGGATAAACCAGGGAGGAGGTAATACCTTGGCAGAGCCCTGAGGAATGAGTGAGTTGAGTAAAGAGAGGAGGAAGGATATCCTGGAAGAGGCGGCAGCAGAGTTGAAGGCTGGGAGGTGAGCAATGGTGTGGGTATCTGCGGAGCCACAGGTGGATTCCAGAGCACGGGGAGAGGTGAGGATAGGTGAGAGATGAGGCAGAAGAGGGATTCTGAACAGGCCAGGACTTGCAAAGAAGACTCAGCGTGTTCCCAGTTGAGAGCAAGTGAGAGAGATACTAAGGGGCAGGACCAGGGCTCTTTTCAAGAAGAAGAGTGTCCAGTGGGAGTTGGCAGAGAGTTTCCAACCTCTCCCTGCACAGCCAGACGTGAAATGGTAGAAAACACCCATTCACTCTAGAATGGGTGTTTCTGTTTACAGATGAGAGAACGAATGCTCGGGGGTGAGAAGAAAGAACCCCTCAGGCCACAAAGGGGAAGTTGAGTCCCATTTCAGAAAGTTCGCCTTGTCTCTGGCCTCCCCATCCTCACCATCAACCTCACGGGGGATGGAGGAGTAGTCGCTGGGCTACTGGTGATAGTGGAGATCTTAGAGGCACCATGCAATGAGCTTGGATGGAACTTTACTTTTGTTTCTGAGTTCTCAGTAATCAAGAATTAACTAATTATTTTCTCCTCTGGGTGTCTAAAGACAGGATTGTGGACCTATGGAAATAGTGAAGACACTGGGACTGCTTTCTCCCTTCCTCCCCATTTCCAAGTTTAATCCTTTAGTTTACAGTATAAATAAAAATTCAACTTGGGGGTCTGGCCTGAATTCCACAGCCAGAACAGGAAGTGAGGGCATGCCCGTCCTGCTATGTATTGATTGTGAAGCCATGTGGTATTGGGAAGAGCCTGGCCTAGGAGAGGTCACACTGCCTCTTGCTAGTGATGAGGCCTTGGGTTCATGCTTCCTATACTCCAGACTTCAGTTCCTTTGTCTAAGTGGAGACAATAGTCCTTGCCCTGGAACCTTACAGAGTTCCTGCGAAAATTAAAGCAGGGAGTTAGGCTGTGAAAAATAACATAAGCTCTGTGAATAAATGTGCTGGTTCAAGCAGCTCACCTGGGATCACAGAAACTGTTTTTAATGCTCTGAGAACTCTGAATGTCCGCAGGCCTGAGATCCCACGGAGATCTATTGCTGTGCCAACATATCTGCAGGACAAGAAGTGAGTCAGCGTCTCTGCAAACAAGGTCCATAAATAAGGACAATTTGGGGTATCGTGAGCCTGGATGGAAAGGACGCAGAACAGACACTTAGAATCTAGCGGAACTGCCATCTACGGACTGACGCTGACGCTGATTTCATTGTTGCAGCGTCTTTCATAGCGGACCCTTTGAGAAGATGCATTGCAATCTAGGCAACACCGCATGTGGATGGATCTTCAAACACGGGCGTTTGACCAACCAATCTCCACAGTTGCTGGTTTCTCAGGAGGAGACCTCCATGTCCGGGAAGTACAAGGCTGAGCCTTGTCTGGCCCACTTGACGGGCCGGCTATTATCTCAGATTGGAGGTCTCTGACTTCTCCTCATGGGCATGGGACTAATCTTGGAAAGCAACCACCAAAGCGGGACTCGATGGAAAGAAGATCCCAGACCATACAATTTCAAATGAGGAAGCCAAACTGAGATGAGGAAACATCTTCAGAGCATGAGCCTGGATATACCCATAAGCCCCACAGGGATACATAGGCAAAGCTTTTTATTTTATTTCAACAGTTTTAGGGAACAGGTTGAGGTGTGACCTTAGATTATCTATTTGTCCTCTTTCATACTTTTTGATGTAGGTATTTACTGCTATGTGCTTTTCTCTTAGCACTGTTTTTGTTTTATCCCAGAGGTTTTGATAAGTTATGTGGCTATTACCATTCAGCTGAAAAACTTTTAAAACTTCCATCTTGACTTCATCATTTAACCAAAGATCATTCAAGAGCAGATTATTTAGTTTTCATGTATTTGTATAGTTTTAAGGTTTCTTTTGGCGTTAACTCCCAGGTTTATTCCACTGTGCTCTGAGAAGATACTTGACATAATTTCAATTTTCTTAAATTTACTGAAATATGTTTTGTTAGCTATCATGTGGTCTATCTTAGAGAATAGTCCATGTGCTGATGAAAAGAATGTATATTCTGCAGTTGTTGGGTGGAATGTTCTGTAAATATCTGTTAAGTCCATTTGTTCTGGGGTATAGTTTAGGTTCATTGCTTCTTTGTGGACTTTCTGTTTTGACGACCAGTCTAGTGTTGTCAGTGGAGTACTGAAGTGACCCATTATTACTGTGTCACCATCTATCTCATTTCTTAGGTCTATTAGTAATTGTTCTATAAATTTGGGAGCTCCAGTGTTGGGTGCATATGTATTTAGGATTGATATTTTTCTGTTGGACTAATGATGTTGTCATTATATAATGTCTCTCTTTGTCTTTTTTAACTGTAGTTACTTTAAGGTCTGTTTTCTCTAATAGAAGAATAGCTACTCCTGCTTGCTTTTGGTTTCCATTTGTGTGGAATATCTTTCCCCGTCTCTTTACCTTAAGTTTATGTGACTCCCTCTGTGTTAGGTGAGTCTCTTGAAGACAGCGGATACTTGGTTAGTGGATTTTTATCCATTCTGCCTTTCTGTGTCTTTTAAGCGGATCATTTAGGCCATTTATATTCAACATCAGTATTGAGATGTGAGGTGCTGTTGTATTCATTATGCTAGTTGTTGCCTTCATTCCTTATTTTTTTCTTCCCATTGTGTTATTGTTTTATAGGTCCTATGAGATTTATATTTTAAGGAGGCTCTATTTTGGTGTGTTTTAAGGTTTTTGTTTCAAGATTTAGAATTCCTTTTAGCATTTCTTGTACTGGCTTGGTAGTTGCAAATTCTCTCACCATTTGTTTGTCTGAAAAAAACTTTATCTTTCTTCACTTATGAAGCTTGGTTTCACTGAATACAATATTCTTGGCTGGCAACTATTTTGTTTCAAGAGGCCAAAGATGGGACCCTAATCCCTTCTGTCTTGCAAGTTTCTGTTGAGAAATCTGCTGTTAATCTGATAGGTTTTCCTTTATAAGTTATCTGAGGCTTTTTTTTTCACAGCTCTTAAGATTCTTTTCTTTGTCTTGAATTTAGATAACCTGATGACTATTTGCATCAAAAAAAGATGCATTTTTTTGTGATGCATTTTCAAGGTATTCTTTGAGCTTCTTGTATTTGGATGTCTAGATTTCTAATAAGGCCAGGGAAGTTTTCCTCAATTATTCCCTCAAAAAATTTTCCAGACTTTTTGACTTCTCTTCTTCCTTGGAAACACCCATTATTCTTAGATTTGGTTGTTTAATATAATCCCAAATTTCTCGGCCACTTTGTTCATTTTAAAAAAATTGTGTGTGTGTGTGTGTGTGTGTGTGTGTGTGTCTCAGTTTGGGTCAATTTAAAAGCTTTGTCTTTGAGCTCTAAAGTTCTTTCTTCTACTTGTTCAAGTGTATTGTTGAAACTTTCCACTGAATTTTGCATTTCTCTAAATGTGTCTTCCATTTCCAGAAGTTGTGATTGTTTTTCTTCATATCTATTTATTTGGAGAATTTTCCATCCATATCCTGTTATTATAAAAATTTCTTTAAGCTGACTTTTACCTTTCTGTGGTATCTCCTTGAGTCACTTAATAATCAGCCTTCTGAATTATTATTATTATTTTTTTAGATGAAGTTTCACTCTTATTTCCAGGGTAGAGTGCAATGGTGTGATCTAGGCTTACCACAACCTCTGCCTCCTGGGTTCAAGAGATTCTCCTGCCTCAGCCTCCTGAGTAGCTGGGATTACAGGCATGTGCCACCATGCTTGGCTAATTTTGTATTTTTTAGTAGGGACGAGATTTCTCCATGTTAGGCTGGTCTTGAAGTCCTGACCTCAGGTGATTCATCCACCGTGGCCTTCCAAAGTGCTGGGATAACAGGCATGAGCCACTATGCCCAGCCCTGAATTCTTTATCTGGCAATTCAGAGATTTCTTCTTGGTTTGAATCTGTTGCTGGGAAGCTAGTTTTATCTTTTGCAGGATGTTATTGAACCATCTTTTGTTATATTACCAGAATTGCTTTTTTGGCTCCTTCTCATTTGAGTGGATTATTTCAGTGAAAAGATCTGGAACTCAAGAGCTGCTGTTCAGATTCTTTTGATTCACGGGGTGATCTCTTGATGTGGTGCTCTCCCCATCCCCCTGGGGATGGGGCTTCCTGATGGCTGGACTGCTGTGATTATTATTGCTCTTCTGAGTCTAGCCACACAGCAGGGCTACCGGGCTCTGTGGTGGTGCTGAGAAATGTCTGCAAAGGGTCCTGTGGTGTGATTCATCTTGAAGCGTCCCAGCCATGGGTATCAGCCCTTGTTCTGGTGAAGGTGGCAGAGGAGTGAAGTAGAGTCTGTGAGAGTCCTTCGTGTGCTGGCTTCCTGGAATGCTGGTTATGTTAGCAGTGAGGCTGTCACATGGACAGACTCAAGACCTCTTATTAGCCAGGATGTTGCAGGCCGTGTAATTGGCTGCTGTTTTCTTCTTCCTGGCATCCAGATTATTCTGTCATGAGTTGCTTTAATGGCCCGAGTTTGGTTGGCCTCCAGCCAGGAGGTGATGCTTTCAAGACAGCACTAGCACATGAGTAGTAGGGGGATCTAAGCTCACCCTAAGTTGGCCAGGGTAAGTATTTTAGTTTCTCAGGTGATGAGCAGGGCCACACAGTTTCCAAGACTTTCTAGTTTTGTGTTTGACTGCCAGGGCAGGTAGGGAAATACCATCAGGTGGGGGCAGGGTTAGGCAGGTCTGAACTCAGACTCTTCTTGGGTGGGGCTTGCTGTGGCCAGTGGGGGATGGGGAGCTGGTTTTCAGGCCAATAGTGTTGTGTTCCAGAGAGAACTTTGGCTGCTTCTACTGTGCAATAGAGCTCTCCAGGGAGGTGGGGCATAGTTGGTAGCTAGAGGCCTCACTTAGCTCTCATGTCGTTGGTGAGGCTGGTCTTGCTCCTGCAGTGCCCCACTCAGACCTTGCCCCAGGCTGTGAGCTTCCTCACTGAGAAAGAAAGCATGACTTTTGGACCTCACCCCTCCCCGTCTGCTCACTCTCTCTAGCAGCGGCTCCTGCACTCACATCTGCAGCAGTTCCCATTTGACCCCTGGACTCTGCTCAAGAAAATCTGTGCCCAGTAGAAATCATTACTAATTTTAGTTGGGGCTTCTTTCACCCTGTGACCCCTCCCTGATATCACTGGCTCTCTTCCTCTTCCTCAAGGACCCCTGTGAGATATAGTCAGGGATGGATTCCCTGATTTCAGGCTGGAGACTGGGAGTGCCCACCATGCACTTCTCTCTGCTGCTTCTACTTTTTTTTTTGAGACAGAGTTTCACTCTTGTTACCCAGGCTGGAGTGCAATGGCGTGATCTCGGCTCACCACAACCTCCACCTCCTGGGTTCAGGCAATTCTCCCGCCTCAGCCTCCTGAGCAGCTGGGATTACAGGCACGCACCACCATGCCCAGCTAATTTTTTGTATTTTTAGTAGAGACGGGGTTTCACCATGTTGACCAGGATGGTCTCGATCTCTTGACCTCGTGATCCACCCGCCTCGGCCTCCCAAAGTGCTGGGATTACAGGTGTGAGCCGCCACGCCCGGCCTGCTTCTACTTTTATATTTTGTGTGGCTCCCTAAATTTATTTCCGTTCTAGGTAAGGGTGAATTCTTCTCCTGTGATCTGGATTTTCAGATTCCCCAGTGGAGATGTGTGTTTAGAGGCAGGATTCCCTCCCTCACACTTTGGGAGCTCACAGTTTTTCACCTGCCTTGCAGAATTTGCAGCAGTGTGCCACATATTTCAAAGAATCTGTGAATTCTCGCAGTTCTTCCGGTGCATTCCTGCAGTGGTTCTTGGAGCAAAAGTTCATGGTGTGAGTCTCCACACACTGTCCAATGAGACATGCATTAGCCCGGCCTCCCATCCACCATTTTGTCCCCTTTCCTCTCGCACATGCAAATCTGCATAGAGAAATACTCACGCCAGGGTAATGACACTGAAATCCAGCCAGTTCCAAGGGTCTCGCAGGTACGTGAACTCATTTAGACAAAACCCTCTTGCCAGTATCTTTATGGAGGCTTCAAAGGTGTAAATGGCAGTGAAGACGTACCTGGAAGGGAGGGTAGAAAAGGAGTATCAACTGTGCCACGGAGAGTACTCAGGGCGTTCCTTCTGCTTCCAGGAGGGAGGGATGAGCTGCTGCGGTTGTTCCAAGAAAAAACAAGCAAAGAACATCACCAAGTTGATAAGGCGGAAGAAGGGAAAGCAAGGAGACAAGACACAGGCTGAGGAACTAAGAAGAGCCACAAAAATAGATGGAGTCGAGGGATGTGTGTGGCTGGGACAGCCAGCAGCCTCTGCTGCTCTGGGGTTAGGCAGAGAGCAGTAGCGGGTGAAGAGCAAGGATTCTCTTGTTCTGTGTCTGCCAGGGTCTCCCTACCCTGCAGGAAGCTGGAGGCTTATCTCCTAACAGCATTTGTGGAAACTGGAGTGCAGACTGATGAGTGGCAATTGACAGAGCAGACCTAAGAAAGCTAAAAACAGGCTGAAACAGGGAATATCCTGAAGCAAGCCCAGCTATACTGGAGAGCCCCAGAACTGCTTGGAACTTACAGATACTAAGTATCCCTAAAAGTGAAGTTTGAGGGGAAGGCTGAGAAATAGGGCTGGAAGGACTGTTTGAAAGCTTTTACAAAAATCAGTTGGGCTTTCTAGACGCCACTTTATACCATCCATTCACTGAGAAACTGCTTCTTCTGCTCCAGAGATGGATTGGATGCTCATTTTCTGAAGAGTTGAAGAAGAGGGTAAGAGTTGCACACTGAAAAATGTATATGAAGGAAAGTTTACACACTGAAAGGCAAATTAACTCCCCTCCCTCTTCACTTCTGCCCCTCATTCCATTTCCAGAAGATAGGTTTATAGCCCATGAAGATGCTGCACTTTTAAGAAGAGCAGCCAGCCAAGGGGCATCAGGAATCTGAAGGATGCTTCTAACACCGAAACCAAAGCAATGAAACAACTGAAAAAAAGAAAAGAAAAAGAGACAGTACAGAGAGCAGAAGAAAAGTTAGAGGACTAAAACTGTATTAATATTTTTAGACAGTCAAGAGGTGAGGAGAGACTGCACGTATAGAACAAGAACAGAAGGCTGTAAAAAGTATCTTCAAAGACAGTATGGAATTTTGAAAACAAAAATATGATAGCAAAAGTAAAACACTAATAGGACGACTTGTAAATAAAGTTTTGGAGATCTCACGAAAAGTGGAACAAAAAGGCGGAAATGGATAGGAAGTGATAAAAAGTTTGAAAATTAGGGAATCAGACTAGGAGGTATATTGTCTGACTAATAGGAGGTCTAGAAATAAGTTAGAAGACAATAAGAAGGCCCTTCAAAATTAAAAGAAAAATTATTTCTAATGCAGAAGTCTTTCCCCAGCCAAACTGTCAAAGAAGAAGGTAGAATATATGAAGTCTCAGAAAATTTACTTCTTAGATACCCTTCTAATAAAGTTACTAGAAGATGGACATGGTGGTGTGTACCTGTAATCCTAACTACTTGGGAGGTTGAGGCAGGAGGATCACTTGAACCCAGTACTTTGAGGCCAACAGCCTGGGCAACATAGAGAGACTTGTCTAAAAAGAAGAAAGTTACTAGAGGATGTGCCCCACTCAAATGAGAAACACATCTGCAATCCAAGGGAGAGGCAAAAGGAATCCAAAAAAAGATGAAGAAGAAAAAATCTCTAGAAAAGAGCTTGCATCAGGCCTGGAGAAGATCTAGGTCAGAATGAGACAGAAGATGGAGTACTCTAGCAGTGATTTCCATAGGAAAAAAATTATGTACACGCATGTGATGTGTGCAAATAAATTGAAACAATAATTAAATATCTGGAGAAGAGTTTGGGAACAAATTAGGGATAAATAAAACACAGAGAAAACAAACAAAAATCCTATTAACTTCAGGGAAAGCAAAAACATTGTGCAAAAGGAAATATAATCAAAGCACACTGCATGGTAAAAAAAAGAGAGAATAACCAAATAGATGCAATAAAAACAATAAAGGGGAAATCACCACAGATTCCACAGAAATTCAAACCATCATCAGAGAATATTACAAACAACTCTATGCACATAAACTAGTAAACCTGGAAGAAATGGATAAATTCCTGGACATTTGTGTCCTCCCAAACCTAAACCAGGAGGAAGCCGAAACTACGAATAGACCAATAACAAGGTCTGAAGTTGAGGCAGCAATTAAGAGCCTACCACACAAAAAAAAGCCCAGGTCCAGACGGGTTCACAGCCGAATTCTACCAGACACACCAAGAGGAACTGTTACCATTCCTTCTAAAACTATTCCAAATAATCCAAAAAAAGGGAATCCTTCCCAAATCATTTTATGAGATCAACATCATCCTGACACCAAAACCTGGCAGAGACTCAACAAGAAAAAAAAATTCAGGCCAATATCCATGATGAACATAGATGCAAAATTTTTCAATAAAATATTGGCAAGCCGATTGCAACAGCACATCAAAATGCTTATCCACCATGATCAAGTAGGATTCATCCTGGGAATGCAAGGCTGGTTCAACATATGCAAGTCTATAAACGTAATTGACCACATAAACAGAACCAAAGACAAAAACCACATGATTATCTCAATTGATGCAGAGAAGGCCTTTGACAAAATTCAACAGCCCTTTATGCTAAAAACCCTCAATAAACTCGGTATTGATGGAACGTATCTCAAAATAATAAAAGCTATTTATGACAAACGAACAGCCAATATCATACTGAATGGGCAAAAACTGGAAGCATTCCCTTTGAAATCTGGCACTAGACAAGGATGCCCTCTCTCACCACTCCTATTCAATATAGTACTGGAAGTTCTAGCCAGAGCAATCAGGCAAGAAAAAGAAATAAAGGGTATTCAAATAGGAAAGGAGGAAGCCAAATTGTCTCTATTTGCAGACAACATGATAGTATATCTAGAAGACCCCATCGTCTCAGCCCAAAAACTCCTGAAACTCATAAGCAACTTCAGCAAAGTCTCAGGATACAAAATCAATGTGCAAAAATCACCAGCATTCCTCTACACCAATAACAGACTTAAAGAGAGCCAAATCAAGAACGAACTGCCATTCACAATTGCTGCAAAGAGAATAAAATACCCAGGAATACAACTAACAAGTAACGTAAGGGACCTCTTCAAGGAGAACTACAAACCACTGCTCAACGAAATAAGAGAGGACACAAACAGATGGAGAAACATTCCATGTTCATGGTTAGGAAGAATCAATATCGTGAAAATGGCCATACTGCCCAAAGTAATTTATAGACTCAATGCTATCCCCATCAAGCTACCATTGACTTTCTTCACAAAACTGGAAAAAACCACCTTGAACTTCATATGGAACCAAAAGAGAGCCCACATAGCCAAGTCAATTCTAAGCAAAAAGAACACAGCAGGAGGCATCACACTACCGAACTTCAAACTATACTACAAGGCTACAGTAATCAAAACAGCATGGTACTGGTACCAAAACAGAGATATAGACCAATGGAACAGAACAGAGGCATCAGAGGCAACACAAGATATCTCAACCATACAATCTTTGATAAACCTGACAAAAACAAGCAATGGGGAAAGGATTCCCTGTTTAATAAATGGTGTTGGGAAAACTGGCTAGCTATGTGCAGAAAGCAGAAACTGGACCCCTTCCTGACACCTTACACTAAAATTTAACTCCAGATGGATTAAAAACTTAAACATAAGACCTGGCACCATAAAAACCCTAGAAGAGAATCCAGGCAAAACCATTCAGGACATAGGAGTAGGCAAGGACTTCATAACCAAAACACCAAAAGCATTGGCAACAAAAGCCAGAATAGAAAAATGGGACCTAATCAAACTCCACAGCTTCTGCACAGCAAAAGAAACAGTCACTAGAGTGAATCAGCAACCAACAGAATGGGAAGAATTTTTGCAGGTTACCCATCTGACAAAGGGTTGATATCCAGAATTTACAAAGAACTCAAAGAGATTTACAGGAAAAAAACAAACAAGCCCATTCAAAAATGGGCAAAGGATATGAACAGACACTTTACAAAAGAAGACATACATGAGGCCAACAAACATATGAAAAAATGCTCATCATCACTGGTCATTAGAGAAATGCAAATCAAAACCACATTGAGATACCATCTCACGCAAGTTAGAATGGTGATCATTAAAAAATCTGGAGACAACAGATGCCGGAAAGGATGTGGAGAAATAGGAACACTTTTACACTGTTGGTGGGAGTGTAAATTAGTTCAACCATTGTGGAAGACAGTGTGGCAATTTCTCAAGGACCTAGAAATAGAAATTCCATTTGACCCAGCAATCCCATTACTGGGTATATATCCAAAGGAGTATAAATCGTTCTACTATAAGGACACATGCACACAAATGTTCATTGCAGCACTGTTTACAATAGCAAAAATCTGGAACCAACCCAAATGCCCATTGATGATAGATTGGATTGGGAAAATGTGGCACATATACACCATGGAATACTATGCAGCAATCAAAAACGATGAGTTCATGTCCTTTGTAGGGACATGGTTGAATCTGGAGAACATCATTCTCAGCAAACTGACACAAGAACAGAAAATGAAATACTGCATATTCTTACTCATAGGCGGGTGATGAACAATGAGAACAGATGGACACAGGGAGGGGAGTACTAAACACTGGGGTCTATTGGGGGGAATAGGGGAGGGACAGTGGGCAGGGGGAGCTGGGGAGTGATAGCCTGTGGAGAAATGCCAAATGTGGGTGAAGGGGAGGAAGACAACAAATCACACTGCCACGTGTGTACCTATGCAACTATCTTGCATGTTCTGCACAGGTACCCCAAAATCTAAAATGCAATTTAAAAAAAAGTTAAAAGTGATGGCCTCTGGAAAGAAGAGATGAGAAAAATGAAATTGCTGGGGTTTTTGGTCTGAATCTTTATAGAATTCCATGACCTTTTAATCTGTGAACATATGTCTTAAATAAAAGTAAAAGTCCAATTAATAAGTGAATAACTATTTTTTTCACATCTGTAAGAGGAGAAA